GGTCAATGCAGGTCAAAATATACAGTAATACACAAAAACAATGAATGCGGGAGAGAAAATATGGCGTAAATTAAGGTCTTACATTTTAAATATTAATATGCTGAAACAAGCTATCTATATAAAAATCCTCATAGTTTTTAGGTGCAGGTAACTTACTGAAAATATTAAATATTTAAAATTTAAGTTTTGAAAAAACAGGATCAACAGGTACGTATTGGGTCACTTTTTGGCAAGAAAGGAGTCAGTTTTCTTATTTTATTAAATGCAGTGTAATTGTTTATGCACATTTTTTTTGCAATAGTTTAAACATCTGTCAATTAATCATTTACAAGGATTTTTTTCAAGTGGTACTGAAATGAAACATAAATAGGCAGCAAAGCTTATAAATTTAATAAATAAGAATATGTAAAAAAAAAGCTGTCATGTTGTGAAAGAAAATCTTTAGGACATTGTACATCACATATTACTTTTGCTTCAGTTGTTAAGTTTCAGAAAATGTTTTTTTTCTCCAGATTATTTCAGTGTTTCACAGCCAGAGCTGTCAGTGTCATGAAAATTCAGAGTCAATAATAAAAAAATCAGTTCCAAATTGGTTCTAAGTCAAAAGTCTCCAGATAAAAGCTAGATGAAAATATTTGTGAGTTCCAGTAAAACTCAGATTGTGAATCAAGCTCACTGGCACTGAGAACTGCCTTGTTTTAAAACTTAATTTTTCATTTCAGGTCAAGAGTATGTGATAATTTCTAAAACAAAATACAGGCATTGAAAAAAAAAACCCAAAACAAAACGAACAAACAAACACAATTCGTTTTTTTTTTTTTTTTTTTTTTTTTTTTTGCATTCCTTCTGAAAAAGTGTGAGTCCACTGGTCTTTATAACTGAAGTTAATCTCAGAACTGGAGACCAGTTTTCTGAAAGGTCAAATTTAATTTTTGTTTACCTTTTTTATTTTAATTCATTGTTATGTTTTTTTATCTTTCATAGAAGGCGACCTATGAAAGCGAACGGTTTTCTATTGCAAATGTTCCAATGTGGGCGCAAAACTTGGTTTTTCGGCACCTGGTATTCATGGTCTCGCATCCAAATACTAACCCTGACCCTGCGTAGCTTCCAAGAACAGAGGAGATCTGGCGTGTTTAAGGAGGTACAAATATTTTAAACATTTATCCACATCAGGTTTTTGTTTTGTCAAATTTGCTTTTATTACATTAAAATTGTTGCAAAGTTATGGTATCTGCACATTATTTTGTATACTGCTGATTGATGTGTTTGTAAATGAATTTTAAGCAAAGTTTGTGACCAGATGCAAACTGTCATAGGGGTGGGCAATTATTTTTCTCTGGGGGCCACATGAGAAACTTGAGCTAAAGTATGTTGGAGGGCCGAAACTAGTAATACCTTGTACTTAATTCTGCTTAATAGTCACTTTTTTTTATTAAGAGCAGTAAATTAAATATTTTAATTAGCTGCTAATGCTGTAGGGCAAGGATATGCTGAAATATTTAAATAAATATATGAAATGGTGATGTAGGTGATAAAGGAAAATATTTCTATGCAAACAGTAAAAACAAAAATAATTATAGCGTGGTGATGGAAAGAATAGCAGAAAGGTGATTATCGGTAACAGAGGATCTGTACCTGGATTTGTTGAACTTCATCACTGAGAATTACTGTTCACATATGTAGGCAGATCAAAAGAGGAGTGCTCAAAGAGCTGCTTTGAGTGCATTTTTTAAAGTAAAAACATTTTAAAAAATGGTGGACCGGACAGAAGTCACTCAAGGGCCACATATGGCCCGCTGGACAGTAATTGCCCTCCCCTGATCTAACGAGTTTGTTTACTTACAGAAACAGCCAAAGTGACTGTAAATAGGTCAAATTTTCAACTTGTTTTACGATTGGCCTGATGTAGGCCAGTCATGTACAGTAACGCAAGTGGTTTTAGATGGACTGCTTTGTTTACATTGAGTGTGGACCCGCATTTCAGAATTGCATTTATTATATCAGGGAAAACTATACTGGAGTAATCTCTGTCAAAATGCACCATTTCAGATCAAGATCTTCTTTGTTTATGTTGATTACTTTGCAATGAAATATTTTAGCTGTTAAAAAAACTGTCAGTTAATGATCCTATTATTAAAAAATGGTTCAACTCTTACACCATTATCAAACTAATATTAAAAATCCTATAATGATGAGGGTTTATTGTATTTTAAATATTTCAGGTGGATAAGGAGAAAGGTACAGAGGGAGAACCAGAGGGCACGAGCTGACCTCAGCTGTTGATCCAATTAGATTTAATCTGAAAATCCACAGCCGTTAAACTTGGTTCAGGTGAAACTCCAAACATCATG